GGTTTAAAGGTGTAAAGCGGGATAAACTTGAATGAGTTCGCGAACCAGCACGATCGGACCATGGGAACGGGGCTTTACGGGGGGTTTTATGGGGTAAAAATTGGTTTTTCTCACTTTTGACCCTCAAAACACAAAATTTCCCGATTTCTCTTTAGACCTTTTTAAAGAGATTAAAAAAACAAATAATTTAGTATGCAAAAGTATTTTTGTTCGATTATTAGTAACGGAGAAAATTTAAAAAATTGTAAATTTAAAATTCCCATGTTATTCTTATGGAGAATGGAGAATATTGTCAAATGTTGTAGTTTGCTTGTTTATGAATATATTTTGATCAAACTTGGCAAATTTATTTATTTTGTACTAAGCTATCAATATTTTACTCAAAAACACACTTTATTAGTTTCCTTGTAGCAGCAAACCTAGGTACTCGTTAAACCTAATATTATTAAAATATATTTAACTGAAAATCAATTCAGACAAATGGAAATTCGCTTAGTCGGCAGGTTTGCTGCGGCGGGGGTATTTTAAACTTAAAACTGTAGTTTTTATACTAATGACTTTTTGGTAGATGACGAATAAGGAATTTCATCGAATAATTGAAAGCGAAAGCAGATATACAAATCAAATTCCTAAACTTTATTGTGCAAACAGAAATGTTATACATTTATCCCAACAGGTCTAATTCTAAGCCTTTTTAAAATTCATATAGTTATCAGTTTCAATATTTTTTTGAAACATTTGCTCTGTCTTTTAAAATATATTCATTATTAACATAAGCCTATGCTAAACACGCTACTAAGTATTTTTAAGTCTTAAAAATCAATCGCTCCCTAAACCATACTTTTTAGACGACCAAGGCGATTAAAAAATAAATTGAAATACCGAAGTACCAATTATAAATATAGGATGATTATTAAATATCGTTTCATACTAAAACAAAGTGTTGCATACATAATCTATATTCCATATGCAAATCTATATTCTATGTTAACTAATCAGAACGAAAATATTGAAATATTTTATAGATCGAGATTAAATTACGAATATGTTTACTTTCTGGTCCTGTCAATGTATTAGAGTTCCATATATTGTTATTTAGATTGCCAACGTAAAATCTTGCTTGAATCCCTACTAACTTAACTAGTTTAAATGAAAGTCACGTACTATCCGCGATCACAAACGGAATTAAACCAACTCCGTTGTACAATGTCCAAATTACTTTTTAATTTCACCCTAGCATTCAATATAACCTTTGCTGCTTGTATACAGGGTGAATCTTCTAAGCTGTCCTAAACAGATTACAGACGAACGGCTTGACATACAGAGATGAAACAAAACTTTTCCCCACTAATTCATACCCAAGGAACAACGTAAAAATATTTTTACCATTTTTTAAATACAGGGTGTTCAAGAAACTGGGAGTCATGGGTTCGAATCTCAGAGTTTTCAAATGTAAACATAATATCAAGTTTATGCATAATTTTAAAGCTCTAGACTAGACAAACAGTTTAGTAAAAACAGAACTCATTTATCTTTGTCCTTTTTAAAATGGCGGCCATTTTTATAGAAAATATTGATACTTACAGAATACCCTGTATCTTGACAACTACTAAAGTTATTTTCGTTCTGTTTAAAAATTCTTAATTCTCGTAGGTTCAGCTTTAATTTGATATACGACAAGTCAACATTTTAAAAACAAAATATTTTTTCTATGATTTCAATTTTTTTTAAAGTTGGTAGCCTTGTAAATAAAAATTTTTAAATGGCAACATATGTAAAATTCTGTATCATTTTTAAGGTCTTGTAAAAAGAAACAATTTTTAAATTTAAACCTACCGTCTATCCTTGGTCGTTTTCTAGTAATTAACCAAAAACTCCAATTGCCGATATAAAACCCATGTTAAAAACGTGCAGTACTGAAGATTAGTGGATGCAGATACACTATTCCCATGATACTGTGCGTTTAACATGAGTTTTATATGGGCAATTGGAGTTTTGGGTTAATTAATAGAAAACGACCAAAGATAGGCGGTAGGTTTAAATTTAAAAGTTGTTTGTTTTTACAAGACCTTAAAAATGATACAGAATTTTACATAATGTTGCCATTTACAATTTTTCATTTACTAGGCTACCAACATAAAAAAAGTTGAAATTATAGAAAAAATATTTAGTTTTTAAAATGTTGACTTGTCGTATATCAAATTAAAGCCATCGACATACATCGATGATTAAAGCTGGACCTACGAGGATTAAGAATTTTCAAACAGAACGAAAATAAGTTTAGTGATCGTCAAGATACAGGGTATTCTGTAAGTATCAATATTTTCTATAAAAATGGCCGCCATTTTGAAACGGACAAAAATAAATGAGTTCTGTTTTCACTAAATTGTTTGTCTAGTCTAGAGCTTTAAAATGATGCATAACATGACATATGTTTACATTTGAAAACTCTGAGATTCGAACCCATGACCCCCAGTTTCTTGAACACCCTGTATTTCAAAAATGGTAAAAATATTCTTACGTTGTTCCTTGGGTATGAATTAGTGGGGAAACGTTTTGTTTCATCTCTGTATGTCAAGCCATTCGTCTGTAATCTGTTTAGGACAGCTTAGAAGATTCACCCAGTATAACGAATAATATTAAAATAAACTAATAGTAAATATACAAATTCAGGAAGTAATAAAAAAATCTAGGTCAAATTTACATTCACAGAATTACCACAAGGTTCTCAAACATGTCGTAAGTGTACACAAATCATATCTAAAAATTAACTGTTTTAGTTTAAATTGTTAACATTACCAAGTTAACGTGAAAACTGTACTTAAGAATTAGATCATTGTTTAATCCCTTTATCTGCAAATTAGTAACTGTTGCTTTTGTAAGACTTTCTTCACACTATAAATGGGCCAAGGATATTAGGATGGTCCAAGGATATTATTATGTTTACTGCAAGGATATTGAGATGTAATGTTCAACAGATTAGACATTTAATAATGTTAACTTGTACTCGTATTAATATCAATTTGTTTCTTTTCTGATGGAGATATCTATGGGTTTAATCTAATCTACGAAAGTTTACTTTAGAAACCCTTATGTATAAAGTTTAACGCTAGAGTAATAGTCAAGGTATTTTAAATATTGAAAAGATATATAAAAAAGAAAAAACCCTAATTATTTAATAAACAAGTAAAACGTTTGAAAATATTAGAATAAGCGCATTCAGTTCTCTGAAATTATTTCAGACATACAACTCTTATCTAATGTACGAATATTTATACTGTATTAAATCTGATTCAATTAAACTCAATTTGTTTTTCAATCGTAACATTTTTATCCTAAGTGCAAAAAGGTGAAAGAATGAGAGATTTTAATCAAGCACTCCTTTTCTACCAATGAGGTGTTAAGTTGATTGCAAGTGTTCCAAACTACATCAACAGATCATTAATCAACATTGAATCAATCTTGATCAATCAACTTCAGCCGAGGGATGTGAAGCGACTTGAAGTATCTTTGGTAAAGTAGATTTGTTATAGTATGTTATTCGGCTTATACATTTCGAAATTGTTTATTCAATAGTATCAAAGTGAGATAATACAGTCGTAATAGTTTGTGAATTTGAAAAAAATACAGATATAAAGATCAAGTTAAGTTATTTATCTTACCAATATAATTAGGCCTATGTAAGAAATAATATAAAAATGATGTGGGTATGTTGCAGGCAATGGTTGCACCTAAATCATCATCAAGAATTTAAGAGCGTCATCAAGTTTATAATTCAAACCCAGCCGTGCTAGTATTTAAGTTCCAGAGAATATATTGTTCAAAATATTCATTGCTTTAAGAATTGATTAGCTAATTCATTCCTCACTTAACTTTCAACCAAATTTGGCGATAAATAATTGAAACATCAAGTTTTGTGTAAAATTATAACATGATACAATCCATCAGTTTCCTTGACATTTTAAGCACCTGCTAATGATGATATTAAATAAATCTCATGGACAGCAACCCTTAGATAGTGTAACCAGTTCAATGAATAATGAAACGAAATAGTTTGCGACAATCTAAATCATTGGACGATTTTGATTGGTGCACTTTTTAGCTAACTGAATGCAACTAAACTGACATATTTGGTTTGAAATAAAAGCTCATACCCCTTTTTAGATAGGTCTTTTGTAAATAAAAACCACACTCAGCTTTTCGTCCCATGGTTTTCTTGAAGTTTCGAGTCGCCCAAATCTGGCTAAAATTAACCGAAATGTAAGTGATTAAAATAATTTATAACTAAAATTAAAACATTTTGACAAAATAATTTAATTGTATACACTGGCGATTGGCTGAGTGCTTTAGTGCTCATCTTATAATTAGATTCACCGGGTCGATCCATTAAAAAATGTAGCTTTCAATGCTTTGAAGACCTTTGTGTCCCAGGTCATAGGTTTAATAACTGGTCCTGACTGAAAGATGTTGCTTTTAGCAATGAATTTGTATTCATTGCTTTTAGTCAGTACCAAAGCTACATACATGATCAACGTCTAATTGTACCCTCATTTTGCATTTAAATTAAGCTTTAAATGAGCACCTAGCAAGGCTGTACCAATGAATTTATTAGATTAATTATTGAATAGTCGATTTCGTAAAAAGAGTATAGGCATTGAAAATCAGTTTTCAACAAACTCAAGATAATTTTTGTAATAAGATAAATGCGTGAAAAAGCAACCATTGCTTATAAGTTTATAAAACTAATTTGTATTAAAACATAAAAATTGATAAGTTAATAAATATTAAACATCTGAGTAAAGAGAAGGGAAAAATCAGTACGGGTCATTAGATCTTGCAAATGTTTATTAATTCTGAAGTGGGAATCAATATGGAAACGGCGGAAAAGATTGTAACCGTGGCTAGAAGCTACCTGTGGACGATCGGGAAGATTCGGCTCCTCTCGGGTAAGTTCGGGTTAACCGGGGAGCCCGGGAGAGCTCAGTTTGGTTCGGGACGCGTCGTCAGCATCCCAATGTGCTGATAACCAATTAGGCATATTGTTTAAGTGGTGCTGTCAGTAGAAAAAACAGCGGCGCCGGTATGACACCCTGTGGAACTCCGTGAAGTTAGCGCAGCCCCTGGCTATCGAAAAGCACTGTCACCCAGCGCGAGTGATAAGGTTTAATTTTTTATCAGCCGATGTAAACTAATTAATCGTCCAGTGCTTCTAATTCGAAAAGGAAAAATAATAACCTTAAATTAATTTATATAATATATCAGTTTGAAAACTTATTTATTTGTTTACATAAATATATTTATTAAATACATAATTATACTTTGTTAACTTAATAATCAAGAGAGAAGTTTTAGTGAGTTCACGTGGATTACGCTATCAAACAGATTTAACTACAGTTTAGAGGATAATGTAAATATAGGTAAGTATTTAATACCAAAATATTCAACCTTAGGTATTTTGTGAGTGTGTTGAAAAATACAATAATTTATTTGTAACGTAATGGTACTAAAAGGTTTGTTTTAAAATATCATTTACACCGGTTGTTTTCTACTCTTTGTTCAAAACTACATAAACTGTATTCCTTTAATGTATTTTTATGGTAATACTCTGGTATCATAAAGTCTTAAAATTATATCTAATTAAATGTACTAATTGTATGTAATTATTATGTAATTATATGAAACTATACGCTTTTGTTAGTAATACATTTTTTGTCATTTTTTGCTATTATTGGTCTCAATACATTTATCCCACTAAAAAAAGCAATGATACAAATTTATTCCCAATCTTAATTTTGGAAATTCGTCAAACTTAGCCGCGGCCAAATCAATTATATATTTTAATATAGGTCAAAACAGCATTCAGTTTACTCGTATATGTTACCCTAGTAAAGTAAAATCAAGGTATTACTATGCGTTCCATACTATGCCTAAAATGAATCAGGCAAAGTATGAACACATTAAGTCATTCTATAGAATGTCCGTCGGCACTGCAAGTAAAGTGTAAAATGCGCTGTTGTAGAACATTTTAAGACTTTTATTTCTTTGGTTAAAATCAACAAGTCTAATATAAAATAAACTAATCTTTTCATTTTTTGTATCTTGCCTAAAAGCTTAGACAATTTTTAGACTGACTAGTCAATCTATAGAAGGCTTGCATTATATACTCTGCCGGTGACCTAAAGACTTGTTTTTAGACTGATGATTACTACCGGTTTTCTTAAGATAGTCCTAAATTTATTCAGGTTAAGTGAAAAATGTAAATTGGGTTTTAATACTATGATTCATGTCTGATAGTGCTTAGCCATTATTACAAAAGTATTTTGTTTTGAATTTTTCTCATGAAACAGTGAAAATACAAGACTGAAATATCTAAGAGTTGCCAGCTGACCTTTTATATGTTTTTATACATTTACCTAGTAAAATATTTTTACCACACTATGATGTTTTTGGCTGTATTACATACGTTAATTGGTGGCTGAAAGTTACGTTTTGCTGGCCATGCCAGCTGTCGCCAATTTGGGGACCAAGCAGGTTTTTACAGGCCGGGGCCGCAAAATCAGCTGTCCGCTTACTTACTTCGAACATGAATGCGTTTTAAATACACATTCAAAATCCATAGCATTGCAATATAGAATTGTGTTATTGTCCCCGTTGCCTAGCAACTATTTATTTATATTTTTGCTGATTCCTCAAATTATTTCTTAACCTTAAAGTTGTAGTTGTGTTGACTATCAGTGTGCATTATTATAGTGGTGAATAGTGGTAATAGGGTATAGTGTGGTGAAAAATAGCGTTCGTACCACGGACCGAAATGGTTTTGCAGCTCTCGATCGATTTAAGTTCTCGACTTCGTCTCGAACTTAAAAACTATCTCGAGCCGGCAAAACCTCATTTTCGGCCCTTGGTACGAAATATACTATTTCACCACACTATGATGTTTTTGGCTGTATTACATACGTTAATTGGTGGCTGAAAGTTACGTTTTGCTGGCCATGCCAGCTTTCATCGTAATTTGGGGACCAAGCAGGTTTTTACAGCCCGGGGCCGCAAAATCAGCTGTCCGCTTACTTACTTAAAACATGAATGCATTTTAAATAAACAATCAAAATCCATAGCATTGCAATAGAAATGCGTTATTGTCACCGTTGTCTAGCAACTATTTATGTTTATTTTTGCTGATTCCTCAAATTATTTCTTCAGATAAACTTTGTAGTTGTGTTGACTATCAGTGTGCATTATTATAGTGGTGAATAGTGGTAATAGGGTATAGTGTGGTGAAAAATAGCGTTCGTACCACGGGCCGAAGTGGTTTTGCAGCTCTCGATCGATTTAAGTTCTCGACTTCGTCTCGAACTCAAAAACTATCTCGAGCCGGCAAAACCTCATTTTCGGCCCTAGGTACGAAATATACTATTATTTTACTCAATTTTTAAAACTTACAGTAAAAATTAGCATTTTTTGCCATTAATACAAAAATTAATAGCATTTGTCAATTTTATACTAAAACAAATATAAAGTGATAATTACAGAGCTATTAAAGATCTCAGTCATCATAGTTCAGTCCATAGGTTAACCAATACAAATACTAGGGTGTATGTTTTATCAATGGTTTAACTGATTAAAAGGCTTTCATTTTTATAAATTGGCATTTTGCATTTTCTTTCTAACGTCTAATGGTAGCTTATCAAATTATGCATAATAGTCTTAATATTTTGGCTCTATAATGACTCACATTACCAGAATTTGGGCGTTACTAAAACCATTGACTTTGGATACAAAATCAATAGTTGTATCAATAGTAAAGCTACAAAAATTAGTGTCTCTAGCAGAGTTCATATGTACAGTATGTACACACAAATCAGGTGGGTGAAGTAAAAAAAGAAAACTTGCAAACAGCATCGAATGCCACGTCAATGTTTTGCCAGTACTTAACGTAGTAGGCCTACTATACAAAGTAAAACATGTATTTTTTGTTGTTGAAAAGTTGAGTGTTAATGAGTAGGCCAGTTTAAGTTGCGCGTAACTTCCGTACATGGCCTCAAGTTTACGTGTCCAATAAATTAAATAATTTTAAAAACTTGTTATGTTTTACATCGCATGTTTTAAAGTCGAGTTTGTGTTATATTTTTCTATTTTTATGAATAGTAATGTTTCTCTTATTATAACTTAAACCCTGCAGGAGAAGTAGGTTTCCAGACAATATAATTGTTTTTATTACGAAAATGCACAGGTAATCCCAACGATTGCACATTAGTTTTCACCTCTTCCTGCCTTTACACGGATACGATCCGGTTTGACTACAAAAGTCTTTAGGGTCAAAAAGATAGTTTTTAATTCCACGTGCCAAGATGTAAAATAAATAGCAAATGAGAACTGGCTACATCCAAGACATATCCTCACGCCAAACTTATTTTGAAGTGGCAATTGGATGTAAGGTCAAAGTGCAAATTATGACATGTGTATATGCAATTTAGGTCAGTAGATATAGCTGCATGTGCAAATAATATTGCTATTGATAAGCTGATTTAAATCAACACAATTTGTTACTAATATTGTTTTCCTTATTGCATTGTATATTTAAAACGCATCTTCAACAGTTAGCTTCTATGATTTTATATATTGAACCATGTAATCCTAAGACAATCCAAATAGTCATTTCTCTCTATTTGAACTGATAATGCACTATAATAATTTTTATCAATTTCAAAAGTGGTAGTTAAATCATCAATTTTGCTAACTACCTCTCTCAGTTACCACATCCAATCTCAATGGGCTCTGACATATGCAAATGCCTATCAATTTGAGAGCTCAATACTGTCACTTTTATTATACTCGACTCGCGATCCGTCTCTCTTACTTCACAAGGCATCATCAGTCCTACGCAACAGACAAAAACAATAGCGTAACAATTAATCGACGTTTTCGTAATAAAGTTTACTGCCTGACGTTTTGCTCTCGCTTCTAAAAGCCTTTCTTAATGGCTAAGCTGATACAACAGAGTTATCTCAATCTAGCCACTTGGGAAGCCATTTAACATCAAGGGCGAATCGTCTGGAATACAATGCATTTGGCAATGAAACTTGCATTGAACGTATTATTATCCCGGATTTGGACAACAGTATTAAAAGACGTACAATGATGTTTGAAGCAATAAATGCCTCTTGGGCAGAATATAATCAATAAAAATATTATCAACACTGTTGACTGTGTTTTAGGATTTAGCTTTAACATAATTTGTTTTAATGAATTTGACACAAATAACCTTCTATCAGTTAGTTACCTTCGTTGAACTGCTAAGAAAACTAGGGTCCTCTTAACACTGTATTAAAGAACTGATTTTCTTTAACTTAGTACAGTACTTTCCTGTAACGTTGTAATTTGTTAGCTCTATGATAAGGAGCAGAGTCCTTACAGTTTAAACCTAATAAAGTGATTTTCAGAATAGTTACAGAGTAATTTAACTATAGGATGCCAATTACTTCTCCTCACTGTTATTCAATTTTTAAATTGTGAATCTTCCTGAAATCAAATCCATGAAGTATTATAAAATATGACTAGGAACTTAGATATAGCCTATACGTTTTTATTGATTTAACAGATGTTTCTGGAAACAGTTTGTTTCTAAGTATCGCACCACCTAATAATTTTACTTTTTAAAATGCTTAAAGCAACAATGTAAACACGCTTCGTCGTAAATAAATGTCTGTTGATTTTTATTGAAATCCCTTTTCAAATGACCCTGGTTATTAATTATAGACTAGCGTAACAAGTCACCTTTGCCCAGCAGAGTGGCTTAAGCGAAGTGAATTGGACGATGAATGTTTATGACCGTAATTGGACCTTCCGACCAGAGGGGACGGCTTTACGTGGGCTGCATCTATATCTCAGTTCAATTTGTCCTCCAATCTTTTCCCTTTTGCATTTGCATATGAAATAATTTGAACAAAGTAACATAAATTTGTTTGCATTGAGGAAACTATATACACGGAGTTTTTTGGAGGAAGGGCCGGCATAAAGTATTGTGCTGAATTTTGATCAAATCGAAGGATATGAAACAGATTTTGGGACTGTAACGTCAAAAAGAGTAAAACAAATACCTGGTAACTAGCCTGGTAAAACAGGTACTTGGATAAGTAAAACTCGTCTTATTTTGAAAGTTTGCATAGTAATTTTGGGCTTGATGCTATTTCGGCATCGAACCCGCTATCGTTGAGCTTTTCACACTAAATACATGAAAAAATATAATTTGAATTATTTGTGTACATTTAATTATTTTTAAATGTTTAGTTTAACGAAGGTCGAATTCCTTAGCTGAAGTAAAATATGTTGTTCTCAATCTGAGCTTTTAGAGCTAACATCATTACATAAATAGACTAAACATATTCCCTTAGGTTACAGATTTACCACTGTCATAGATCATTTGAAGATGATAAGGATTTTTTCTAAAGGTACTAGGCTATAATATGTGAATTGAATTTTGAAAACAGTCATATTTTTCACATTTTAGACGGTTACAACTAATTTAATTGATTTGTAATGAAATATTGCAAATTTATAACATATTGTTAGGAAAGATTGAGCGTAAATCTTAGAAATTTAAAAAATCTGTTTTAAGCTTCAGCAAACTCAAACTTAACTTTACTGTTTATAAAACAAACATCAAACATTTGAAAATGGTTGAGAATCTACTTGTGGAGTCCAAAGTCAACGACACACTTCCTCAATCTTGAGCTAAAATTATTATTAATCAAAGTCCTGTCTCTAGCTAACATTTAGCTAAATAGCAAACATATGTTTTTTTTCAAAACAAATGAAAAAGAATATTATTTGTTATTGGTTATGTGGCTTATCAACATGCTAAATTATCAAGTATGAACAAATTTGAAAGAAACTTAAAATAACACTGTACACAAGTGATTAGAGAAATGCATATACATTATCCCCAAGATATCAATGCTTCTGGATTATTACCATGGTGAATGAAGACTGTTATAGCATCAATTAATGACAAACTGTCCGGAAGTGTGTTTATTCTTTTAAGAAATTTTCAGGTCATTAGGCGTATTGTCTTATCTATGATTGACCTGTTTGTAATCTATACTGAGTGACGTTTCCTCTGATAAGGCTTTGTAATAAAATAATAACAGAATAAAAAAACCAACACCAAACTAGGTAACAAAAGCTGAAGAAGTAGCAAGAGAAGAGTGCAGAAAAAAAACATACTGTTTCAAAGAAAGGTGCGATGTACTTCGTTGTAGAACATGTAATATTTGTAACTCGTGCACAAATTAAACTGGAGAAAAGAAAATACTTGGTGAGAATAGGTAGGCCTGTATAAATAAAGAAATAGTGGCATCATAGAATTTCGAAGTAATACCCAAAAAGTAATATCCTTCAAACTGATCAGTACAGAAATTGTATACTGTTGTTAAATACCACAAATACTTATGCAATGTTAAGTTTTTCAACACAAAATATTACCGAAGCAACATTTACTAAAGTTAAGTATTGTTTTAGAAGACGTCTTTATAAGGTATTTAAATCCCATATGTTTTTTACAACCTGTCGACATTATTAGTAACAACTCAAATACCAGTACAATGGCACATTTGGAAGAAAATTACCCTCAAATAGACGACCCATACTCTGCTTTTGACATTAGAGATGTTGCCACACACGAAGATGAGGAGGATTATGTGATTGCTAGGGGAAGACACACAGCGAGTTTGTTAGAATCGTTCAAGAATATAGAAGAAATTAGGAAATCGTTATTTCCAGAAGAGAATGAGAGGCTTTCGTCATTGGATGAAGAAAGAATGAGTTCATTGCTTAGTAGGCGGGCTACAATAAAACATGAGTTCAAAGAAAGTACACATAGTAGATCTATAGAAGAAAATATGGTTAATAAGTCAAGTTCTTCTTTACGTTTGCCAAGTTTAGTTGAAAACTATCGGGATAAGACTCGCTGGAAAGTGAAAAGCATTCCGTCAACTCTTAATGACTTAGAATCAACTGTACCGAAGCCAAAAATGCCACAAGATAAAAATGAAAGAGGTTATACCTCTTGTAAAATTACAATAGGTAAAATGAAAGAATATTTGTTGAGGATTTGTGTTTGCCCATGTTTTGAAGAGAATCCAGTGGAGAAGCACCCAAATCACCAATGTGCCAACCTAAACAAATGCGCAAAATGTGGCAAAATTCGGAAACAAGCAATTTATTCCCGGATTGAAACAAGAATTTTACTTCGTTCGGACGACGCAAAGTAAGTTTTTCCAGAATACATAGAACAAGGCATTATACATAGAATACATTGATTAAGTGTTTAAATTATACTGTTTAAAAACAATATTTTTTTACTTTGCCGAGTATAATGGCAAGATTTCTTATAATGTGACTTTGGACTAAGATAGTTACTACATGAAGGTAGCTTTTTGATAAAATTCAATTATACATTTTGCACTAGTACAAGTAGTTTGACGGCAACTAAGCTTAAGTTTCTAAGTCCAACTAAGGCTATCTTTCTTAAGTTTGAACTGCCAACCTTCAAAATTAAAGATTAACTCCACAACTACAAATATAGGTACCACTAGTAACACAGATGATACTAGGGACCAAAAAAAAGGTTTAAAAATAAAACCATCTGGTATAAGTAACGGTACTGTAGAGTACTGAAGGATTTTAAAAATAGCAATAGCATAGAATGAATAAACACTATGGTTTTCATTTATTCTATGGAAATAGTATTATTTATGATGTACTAAAGGTATACACTGTCTTATTAATATGTTCTTCTGTCTGTATTCCTGGCAAATATAAGTTCTAATATAAATGTATTATATCGAATGATAAACGGTAAAGTAAATCTATTTATGCAAAATGCTTGTGGATGGTTAACATAGAACAGGAGGACAGAAACCAATGTATTGAAAATTGTGTTAACTACCATTAGAGTGATATGTAGTTTGAATCTAACGCAAAGGTGAAATAAATAAACAAGGTAATTTTGAGCAACAAGAAAATTTGATCATTTGTCTGCAAATAGTCAACCTGTTGCTTGACGTCGACCATAACTATGGCAAGAAAGTTAAGTGAATGTGTTCCCTAAAAGTATCTTGAATTGTGATTTTTATTTCGACCTCTCTGTACTTGAACTAAAAGAAATAACAAGTTCTTTACTAATTTACAATATATTATTTCAGATAAATCATATTGTTTTACCTTAAGTAATTCGATCTATAGAAATAGACAACAGCTTTATATCTGAATGTGAAAAAGAATAGTAAAAACTCATCCAGTGACACTCAGATAATAATTTTCACACATTAGACTTATTAAGAGTAGTCTCAAAACCGCTGAAAAGTGATTTGCCATCAGTGCTAACACATTCAATATGATTTGGTCAAGTTCAGTTGATAAATATATGAGATAGTGCTATAAAAGAGACAACATAAATTATAATAGAAAGAAAACTCAATACAGTAAAACTATTGTCGGATACAACTAAGTATTTTAGTTCATTCCTAAAACTTAATTAGCAAAATATTTATGTGCGTTGCATTTAGAAGTTATTAGTTAGAAACATTATACTGCATTTTCAATGCACTACGTATGGCTGGTTTGAGTTATTCGGAGGCACGGTTGGCCGGGTGGTAAAGGGTTAATAGTTGCTCAGGTTTAATTCCTGCCAAAAACCTAAAGATTTTCGACCAAACCACCACTTTCGGTTAGGAGACCATCAGCTGGATGCAGCTGGAAGTTAAACTAACGATAAAAAAAACAATCTATTGGGTATGTTACAGTGGTTATTGTCTCGGACGTTGGGGTGAGTGGGATTGGATTCGACCCCAGTATATATATACACATTTAAGATACATGGGCCGTTTTCCATTGAAATACATTAGTCACAAAATTTGCTCCTGGCGTTAGAGCAAATAAAATAAAAAAAGAAATAGGAAAATATAGATTGCTTTAAGCAAGAATAACTGCATATATATTGGACAATTTCGTCTTCAAAAACCATATGATGGTTTCAGGAGTGTTTATATATATATTTTTTTTTATTATAGCAGTTTTACAATCCAGTAAGCTATTTTACGCTATCGCTTCTTCTTTACAAGATTGGAGTATCTTTAGTGATATTGCAATAGAACCCATCCAAGCCGTTGCGAGAACGTTGGATCTGGATTTTTATTTGCCCTCTACTCGATGTAGTATTTGAGCTTTCCACTTGGGAAATAAGGCAAAGTCTACGGATCCCCGATGCTGTTTGTTCCATGACCATTTAAAATATCGAATCTATAAGCTATAAGTACCTAAACTAATAAAAGAAGGTTCTGTGTATTAAATCATTCGTTTCAATCAGCAATATCGACTATGTCATTTGAGTAATCGTTAACCAAGCAGTCAATGTCAATATCTTAAAGCTCCATCATTTCGGGTTTTGATGTAGATTAACTTGGTTAATGGTGTTAAGAGCACATTAGTCTTCAAAATTTAGGCTTCCAATGTAATTTATTGGCTGTTGGGTACGCATTATCCAAAAAGCAGAACTTGACCGAATATTGGCAGAACTCACGAATATCAGAAATTGAATGGATCATAAAAATGACGTAACTGGCCCAAATACTATTTAATATTCGTAGTAAAACTTAAACGCTTGACGGTTTCGCATGACGGTACATTTTATGTGGTCAGTAATGATAGCAAAACTGAATTAACAGCTATGTCCCTCGTGAAAACCAAAAAGAATTAGTTTTGTTTGGTTGGTAAAACCTGTTACTTGACACTTGTCGAAGAAGGTACAGTTTATGTGATGTTTTGAGTTGAGGAAAGTTTATGGAGTCTCTACCGTCCATCTAGTAAGTTCAATGCGAAACGAAGAACGCCTTGACGGCCCTGCGTTTCTCGAAGAACGTTCGTCATACCATAGAATACTTCATCTATGGTGATACTTTAGGTGCACAACACGTTTCCTGAACACAAAGTAGCTAAACAATGATTCCATCCATAAACTGGCGGCCTATAGGATCTTTGTGGGTATGACTGGTATGACTACCACCTTGATTCCATCAAGTGGTGTGGAGGTTTCGTGTTATACATTCACGTTCAGAAACTTACTTAAGATTTTTTCAATACTTTTGGTTTAACAATCTTTCCATCAAATCGTATTAATTAATTCAATTACATAAATGTATCGTAAAGCTTTAAAATATCCCAATATCGACAATAAGTATAAGTTTTTAACAGCATGCAGTGAGTGGGGACACTATAGATCACAGTGGGGTAGTGATGTGACGTTGCCATGGTGATGACGCCTTCCCCTCCCTCCAAAATACACCGACTGCCAACACGTATACATCCTGTCTACCCTCTATGCATCCTGTAGCCTCCAACAAGGTGCGAATTTTATGTATGAAAATATTGTTCACTATAGTAGCAGTTTTGGTTTTACAAAGTATGGATGGGCCACTTGTATTATTATCGAATAATTTCAATAGGTACTAAAGTACCATCTATCTATTAATCTATACTATTATAAAATTGATGTGGTGTCTGTCTGTCCGGCTGCCACGACTAAAATACTAGACCAACTCAGCCTAGATTAAGTACAAAGATTGTCCACATACCTAGGAATGTCATAGGACTATTCACTTCCCTGAGTTCCTCTCGGGCTACGCCCCTTGGATGTCCAAAGTTTAAGAGCTGAGGTCTTCAAAAGTAAATATTAATTGGTCTCCATGGAAGAATGAGAAAACTCACATACTTTGTTTACCTTTGCGTTGACATTCCAATGTAAACTGTCAGAACTGCTAAATGCCTATTTAACAATTTCAGACAGCTGGTCCAAAAACTAACAATACAACCAAACTACTAACAATTATCAACATATTATGTCAAAGAAACCACTTTCTTTGCCTGAATTAATCTTTCGTTTTATAAACATTACGTGTCTGTCTAATTCTGAATTCCACAAAAAACTACAGAAAAGATTATGCTTTTGTAGTTTGCTTAACGATTGAAACTGTGCAAAAATTAGTCTATTGTTGTTTGGAGAGGTAATTGTGCAATACTAAATTTCGATAACAGTAAGATACATTTTATTCATCAGAACTGTTTTCTCGCGAGTATTGCACACAGCCAATTTCACCGAAGTGTAAGAAAACATAATTGGCGATTCAAAACAGATTATGAGAACCAATGAATTTTCATTTCAAAAATATACATTTAGAGTAATAACATGAAAACTCTATTAAATTAACATAGTTTGCCTTTTAACAGATTGAATGAACGGCACTTGGACGCGTTGGGGTGCGATGGAGCGCAGAACTCCCCATCAACGGTGTGAATAAATAACACCTGAGCACCGATTGAAAATCTCACGGAGCGTTTTAGGGATTTCATTCCCTCCATCAAGTGATTGCTTCAACTTTGATTTCATTTCGATTGAAAGACTTCTGGTTTCATTTAAGTAATCATACAATTTGTTTAGTTCCCTGATTGCAAAGCAACTCAGTGTGGACAGATTTAATATTGATTTGTAGTTTAATGTCGTTGGTGAACTGCGGAATTACTCATCCTGTATGTAACTAAGAAAAACTTATGTTTATGGTGAGTCGGTGGCTCAGTTGGTAGCGACTTCGGGCCCAAGGCAGCGCTGTCGTGGGTTTGGATCCTGGTCACTGCCGCAAACATCAGTACAGTTCACCTTCGTACTGTACCGGCTCACCTCTTGCTTCGCTGCATAACGCTCCACTCACTAATCCGTAGCCTATGTGGACGGGCAAATGCAAGGTTAAAAGAGGACGCCAACCTAAAAAAAAAAAAAAACATGCAAGAAGGACTAGAGAGACACTTAACCATTGGCCTTTGGTTATTGAAGTAACCATTCCAATATATATACTGTCATTTTCTTATTAGGTTTAACCTTTCACTCTTAATACAACTAGACATTCCATCCCATGTTAAATTTGTAGCCAGATATTTATCAAAATCGTTGTAGTTTATGTGATCCACCACAGATTGTGCTGATCTAAATTATTAAATTCTGTCGAATACACAAACTGTTTTACCAAGTCAAACTTAGGAAATGAAGTATCCAATAGTCAATGGAGGAACAGAGATTTATTCTGGTTTCTTTAGTTGATCGTGAAGTGATATTAAAAAAAAAATAAACCAAGTATAATTCAAAGTGATTTGTCTTTTAATGACGCTTGATTTTTCCGTACTTTTGGTTAGGAAAGTAATGGTAAATATTGGCTGAAATCAAATAATTGGTCAATCCTCGGATTTAAAAGAGTTCGTCTTATTCTCGTAGATCAATTTTGGGGACGAATCAGAATTTGTTTAACGATGAAGAACTTTAGCTGAATTGTTTTAAACTACAACTTTTACTATAAAGATCATATGCATTTAGAAGGATAAAAAGTAACCCAAAGAATGGATTTGTGACAAAAAAGTCTAATTAAATATATTTAAAATGATTTATATTCAAAATAACTGTTCTAAAAGTAATTTCAGTTATTATGTATAGTTGTGTGTAGAAATGGGACCATTCGTATATAAGATACTACAGTACTACCAAGGGAGAAAACAAGAAGGAAGACCTTATATCAATCATATGCCTCCTTTTGTACACATTTGAAAAGGAAATAAAAAAAAAATAATTAAAAAAAAGAGTTGTCAGGAATAGTTTTATTCGGTATTACTTAGAAGTACAACTTAATTTTTACCTTGTAAAACTTTCTGTAGATAAAAAAAATCTTTTTAGATAAGAGTAGGCCCTACTATACATCAAATCGGTTGAAATCATTGTAATACAAAAATCTAGAACAAACAGTAACAAAACTTTAGTAAATAACCATAATATACTACGTCTCAAAGAATCGCTGATCTTTATTCTGTAAACAAGTACAATTGACTTGAACTCAAGCCAAACTGCAGTTAAATGTTAATCTGGCAAGACTCTGCATTAACATACACTAAAGTAAGTCGCTGGAGAGTTTCCAGCCTTCTTAACAGGAAAAGCTTTTGAGAAAATTCTGTTTGTTAAATGATTTTCATTCTATTCCCCAGTACTCCCTTCTTTCTGAATTTTTAACTATATGAACAATGTTTGTAAGGTAATTACAATCTTTTTATTTGTTTAAATTACCTATTTGCATAGGATCTGTCACTAACAAAACATAGTATACTTAAAAATAAATATAAATTTCACTTTGGTTGTATGATGGTTGTATTCAGTTGAAAATTAGTACTTGAGTAATTATTGTACTCATTCCGGTTACCTTTTTATCCTAAAAAATCACAATCTTTTTGGTGGTTTGAAACTGGGCACAAAAACTCAGTAAATGACCGAAAAAAAACACTAAACCGTGGCTTTTGAATATACAGGAAAAGTCCGTCAAGGTCCTATGAAGTATGAAAACAACGAACTCCATTCTATACTCAGCATTGATTATAAATAAAATAAATGAATTTGAAAAAAAAAAACAAAAAAAAAAAAAAAAAAAAAAAAAAAAAAAAAAAAAAACTTAACGCTAAACCAAAGCATTATGCGAGTATGATAATATACTATAGCCAAAGACAAACAATTCATCCACTCAAAACACAAGATTATTTTATAAAAATACAAGTTCATACATTTCATTTATCAAAGCAAGATTATAAAATCTTAACAACAACAGAGATTTAACCAGTCTATAAAAATCCTGTCTACATTCATTTTTTAGTATTAACAGTGAAAAAGGTTTAGCGAATAAGAGACGATAAATTTAGTTCATAATCGCACCAGAAAGCTAGAAATTGCAAGCTTTTAGCTTATTTCCCTAGACGTGAACCCTCAACTTGTTAACAATAACTAATACATTTACTTCTTATTTTGTAGGTTTCGTAATTTTCCAATATTTGATTTGAAACTCTCTTTCCCAATTATCTTTGATTTATTGTTTTGCAATGTAGAGTCTCGTTTCAAAACACTGTTAGTAAAATTCGTGTTCTTCACTGTTTTGTATCATAATTGGTCAATAAAATGTTTATGGATATTGAGCATGCTTTAGTGTCGTAAATGATTGTACATGCAAGTTTTACGTTATTGTACATTATTGTTGTTAATGTTATGTTATCTACCAGGATTTGAATAGAATGTTAGAGCCTTATTAAGAGTAGTTTGAAGCTATTATCATAGACTAACCAACACAAGGGAGTATGTTTTATCTATGCTATTATTGTATTAAGAAAAGAAGTTAAGCTAATCCTAAAGGATATGATATTGGAATTATCAACTCTATCTCTTTTGTGTATATTGCTGCATTAACCAAATTAGTAATTTCAAATTTATCTGTATAAGACAAGTTTTGCTAACAGGAACATTTTTTGTAAGCATAAATAACTGATAGCCTAACAACAGATTGCTTCTGGGTCAACGATAAATTATGTTTGGGATTTCCTTTGCCTTTCTTACTAAACAGTGGTCTTAAAAGTTGTCTAAGATTAATAATCCAACAAATGGTAAACTATGGGAAACAAATTTTATTATAATTGTTAATTATTTTTACGTAACACTAAACCATTGATAAAATATACTTCATCTTTATACTTATATGGTTATACCCTTGTTATAGCTGTTAGTTATACCCTTAGTTATAACATACCCTTGCATTGGTTAGTCTATGACTAAACCTAACTTCAGATAAGACACATTACCATGAATTTATCCCTATGGAGTCACAGAAAACAAATTTAAATCAAGTTCCCTCCTGGCCTAACGCAGCAAGGTATTATATACAATGTACAATGTGTATGACGATTGTCCTAGCTGTCAAAGTTTGTATAATAAAATGTGTATTATAATCTCTTGTACTGATCTATTACAAACGATGCAATAGTAGTTGGAACCCGTACGAAACCCAGAGCATAACACGATTTTACCGCAATCGAGTGAGTTGTTCTGATGATGTTTGACGAAAGTGTTGGGTGTTTATTTATCATTTCTGCCACAGTATTTTTCGTTTTCTTGAAAATTGATATGAAAAATATCTACTAGAGGCAATCTTATCTTCACCACATTAATTCATCATAATATACTGTATATGATTTATAAAAATACCTGCTTTTAAACGGGTAATTTCGTCAAACTTTTAGTGACGATTATTTGTATTCAATGATCTTTTTATACAAATAAAGCCAATTTAAGTTAGCAAAAGCTTTGTTAGGGTACACATTTTCAAAAACAATAAAATTAAAACTAACTTGTACTTGATAATCAGAGGAGCTTTCTCTACATGCCAGTATAACTCATACTACTTTATATAAAATCAGTGATAGAGAAATTGAGGCAATCTAAATTAACATTAGACATTGTAAATAACTCCCCACGTTGTTGTGAAGTGAACTCTGAAGCGTGGCTTATCGTGTGTTGCATGTCCGCTACGCTTGAGTGCGTTGATGTCGACTAAATATTTATCTTCTACTTCCTGGTAAATTACAGCGTAAACTTTACCCGTTGGTTTCAATACTTCACAAGTTTTGGTTTGAATTTATTAATTTTACTGTTAACACATAATTTTATAGCTGAAGTAAAATAGTTTTAAGGCTTTTAAAACATTTTATAAACAAATACTGTACCTACATTAAAATTGTATTCAGGCTCCCACAACAAATCGGAAATCTATAAGAGAGTATTTTTAATCAATGAGTAATCGTCCTTGTAAGTGCCAGTACTAAGTAGACTTATAATCGTATGGTAAAACCTGAGAAATTTTTAAATGTTTTACCTTGATGACATTTCACAGTGCCAAAGTTTACTTCATTATATTTCCTATTTTAGTTTGGGCTGTACCATGTATGCTTTACTTTTCAGATCCACCTCATACAACAATCAATAGTTTATAGTACAATAGTGTTTTTGCTAGATATTCTATTAATAGTGTCAAAAACAGTTATCAGGAAAAATTTCCTCGAAATAAATTGAAACGAACCAAACTCAAAATTGTCCTTAGCTGATACATAAGTATGATAAACATATTAGGGATTATGTCACGATATACTCATGATCTCGAAAAAAAATCCTAATCTTCAAACCTAGATGTAAGTTCGATTTTGATAAACGTGTTTTACACTTACGTTATTTATAAAAAGGACTACATACGTATACAAGAGTTAGAACATCGAGGGAAGGATTGCTTCTCATGAACATCAGCGGTAATAATTTAGAAGGAGAATGCTTCGCACTTACAGAACACAGGTTCCCATTGTGCCTGCTATTGAGAGACTCAGTTGGTAATTGAACTGTTCGTTTGAATTACTGATATAACGCAATCGTGAATGATACTTAGCTTTATATGGTCTACTTAGATGGATCCATCATACGTATGGT